TTTAAACCTGTACTATCGTTTTTTTTCTCTTTTTTAAAGCAATTAGAAATTTTTTAATTATAGTAAATTCCGCCCCTTTTGTTTAAACCCATTATAACTACTTTTGTTTTTATCCATCGTTAACTTTTCATTGCCCAAGGCTTTTTATTCCCACTTTTTTTCTCTTGGGTAAAAACATTTAAAATACTAAAACCTTACATTTTTTTTAAACTTTTAAAAATTTTATATTTGCTGTGTCTAAACCCGGGAAAAATTATTAAAAATTTTTCCCTTTTTGGGGGTTCCAAGTTGCTTTTAAATTTTTTTCAGCTTACCTTAAACTTTAATTTTCTAAAAATCCCTTTTCCCCTTAATTCGTCGTTTTTTGTACGGGGCAATAAATTTACGATAAACCAGGTCCAAAGTTAAAAGGGGAAATGTCTTCATAAGAAGGGAAATGAAAAAAAATTTGTAAAGAAATCGTTTTCCCTCTCATTATCATCTGTTTTTGTTTTTTCATCGCTTTGAAGATACCACTTTTTTTCACTTCACTCCTTTTTTTGGAAAACCTTTTTTGTTTGGGCAATTCCCAAGCGAAATATTTATTTTTATTTTAAATTTAAATGCTTAAACTGAAATACCCCAAATTTTTCATGTGAAATTTATAACCGATTTTAAAGTTTTTTTTTTCTTTTGTTTAAAAATTTGGGAAATTTAAAGGAAAAAATTTTGGGTTTTCTTTAACATTTAAATTAAATTTGTAAGTGGGGTATTTTCAAAATTGCAAACAAATACATACATTTTCAAATAAATGTGTATATGAGTACTTTAACGGAAATCTGTAATTTAAATTGTTTGATCCACGTTACCTACGCGCCTTTCAAAACGAGTTAATCAATATTTGTAAATCATATTGCTTTATATTTTGATCACCGGAAAGCTTTTAGCTTTGATAATTCAGATTTTCATCATGTCATGGGCGTTTAGAACAATCTGTTTTTGGGCCTAATTTACTGAATCTTGAAACAATGTTTGTACCATTCAAACTTATGAACAGTTTTTCTTCTTTATGACACTAATTTTATTCTTGAGAAAGTAAATGAATCACCAATATGTAAAATGTATATGAAATTCTCAAATACTTACCTCCTCTTGTACTTTTCTTTTGGATTGCTAAAATAAGCGAAGCAATATATTAAATCATTGGGTTCATTAATTTTACTAAAATGCATACAATGGCTTCTTTTTTGAAGAATAAAATTAACAATAAGCAAACTGCAATAAGATATTAAACGTTTTTTTCAAAAAAAGGGGAAAAAAATTTTCCCAACATAAAACTTTTGACAAAAAAGGGGTTTGGGCATTGTTAAAATCTTTGGGTCTTGATTATTTTTTTATGTTTAATCAAACTTTAAAGGTTCATAAATTATAGGCCACTTATTTGAAAATTCAAACGGAGGGCTGAGAATTTTGGGGGGTTAAAATTTTTTAAAGAAAAAAATTATGAATTTGAAAAAAAATTTTTAAATTTTAAACAAATTTTATTTTCCCCGGCCAAAACCCTTTGGTTTTGATTTTAATTTCCCCCTTAAAAAGGTTTAATTTTTCCTTTTAAAAAAATTTTTTTTTAAAAGACCCAATAAATCAAAATAAGGTACCGATCCCTTTTTGGGGGGAAAATTTTAAGAGCTCCGATTTTAAAAGGGAAAATTTAATTTTAAAGGGAAGTGGGAAAGGGTTGATCCCAAAATTTTTTAAATTTTGTTCCTCATTTTGTTTCAAATTATGAAATTTTTTTTATTAATCATCCCAAAAGGTTTAACGATAATTTACCGCGATAGTTTTAATTATCCTTTTCTGCATTTGTAATTTTTTTTGTAATAATAATAAAACAAATGATAATAATAATAATAATAATAATAATAATAATAATATTTATAATAATAATAAAAACATATATTATCATGATGCTAAGAAATGATATAATAGTACAATGTAATACCTACCTTGGCATGGTAGCTCATTGCTGTATAGAAAATAATTCCTCCAACAAAGCAGAGGTTGATAAGCATCCAGCTGTCGAGCCAGATCAAAGTAGCGGCTGGTTGGATCTTATTATAAATCCCCGCCCAGTGCATTATAATTGTTGTCATGGAAGCCCCGGAAAGTGCAACCCTTGGTGTGAAATTATCACCGAAACTAAAGGACGTCATAGCAATCAAAACTAGTACCATAGGAGTACATATAGTCTGACTTTCTGAATGTGTATACCTCTTTATTTGTATTCCCGTGTTCAAGGCAGAAAAATTGCCCACTGGAATGGAAGTTTCTTTAATTTAGAGCCAAACTTGTTTCACAAAAACACAAATACACACCTTATATTTTGAATATTCAAACGTAATATATTCTGTTATTTAAACATGATATTGTCAATATTCCTATCGTTCATCAGCTTTTTTACAAGAGCAACTTTCATTCAGGAACACATACGTACATTTAAAGAAATGCAAAAAGAAACATACATGTATTGTATTAAACAATGGAAATCTGTTATAACCATTATACAAAAAACTTCATATGTTTGGTTTTAAAATGATATAGCGCACTATTTTAAGAATGCAAGAAAGAATTATTCAATGTGATGGTACCTGAATTTACCCCCGGAGATACAAATGTTCTGTTTCTCCATGCGGGGTACTCTTTTATAGTCTTACCATGCACCACCACAGGATGATCTATTGTCCAGAAAAGTTGAACCTCCTCTTCAGTATACGTATCTAAAATTAAATCCGATTGATATTTTCATATTCAAAGTTGAACACAAAAAGAAAGTTTCTTTGAAATATTTATGTAAAGCGCGTATTAGGCCCGGGTGTTTTAAAAAAGTGTTGACCCCGGGCAAAAATTTTGGTTTTTGACAGTTTTTTCAGATGGGTATTATATGTTAAAATTTTAAAAAAAAATATTTGTTAAATTTTATTTCAAAATACTCATAAGAAAATTTTTTTTATATTATATAGGAATTTTAAACTTCCCAAAAGGTTGTAACCCTCGTTTAAACCCACCGGTTTAACCCTTACTCAAATTGGGAAAAAATTTTTGCGCATTACACTAATTTTTTATATGAAAAAATATTGGGAAAATATTTTTTGCTTTCCAGAAAGTCAAAAATCGGGTTTTTTAATTTGTTTCCGTTTTTTCCCCTTTCCTTGTTGTTGAAGAAAAAAATAATAAAATATTTTCAATAATTTTCACAAACTTTACTTTTTAGGTTTTATAAAAACACTTAATCAAATGATTTATAATAAACAATTGCAATTTCTTATAAAAAAGATGCTGAACTTCAAAGAAAAGTATAGTGTCTTACATATTAGGACAATCAATTTTATTGAACAAAAATTGCAAATAAATAAAAAAAAATTTAAAACCCAAAAAAAAATTAAAAGCTTTGGGGTAAAATTTACACGTTTGGGAGAAAAAATATGGATTAAAACCGGGAAAACCCATTTTACAAAACAGTTTTTTTGTTTTGGATCCTGTTTAAAAAATTAAACCCCTCTTTTTTACAAATTTTTCACATACCAAGGGGTCCAAAATTAAAAACCCAAAATTTCTTTTGGGTAAATTTTATTTAAATTTTTTCTCAAAAATTCGGGCCTATCGATTTCAAACTGAAAAAATTTAAAAAATGTTTAAAAAGTTTTCAGAGACTTTTTTGATTTACTTTTTATTTCCCTTTACAAAAATTTTTCACAAAAATCTTCTTTTTTTCAAAATTTTAATTGTCTTTTTTTCTTTTTCCCTTTAAAAACAGAAAAACAGTTTTAAAGAAGCTTTTGAATGTGAGTCAAGAAACTAACAGCTTCCTTAATAATCGAGTTTAAATTAATTTTGTATAAACTAACGAACTTTAAAATAAGCACACTTGCTGGAAGAAAAAGCCTTCTGAAAGTTTTTAAACAAAAAAAAAATTCAAAATGTTTTTATCATTCATTATAACTTATCATCAAACATACCTTCCACTGAACGTGATGTTACCATATCTTCCTATATATATCAACTCATTTTTGCCAATCACGCCAGTAAAATAACTTTGACGGTTCTGAGTGAAGAATATATCAGGGACCCAAACCTTTGATATAAATGAACCGCTTACTTTTAGATTGGAGTATGACGCATTGTTGGAGTAGTCCAAGCGGCTGTCTGTCCAGTACATCCTCACGTACATCAAGCAAGAAAAATTCCTGTTGAATAATGTTTCAAAAGCTTTCCATTATTAAAAAAGAATATGGTTTATTTAATATCAAAACATTGCTGTTTGTTATACTTTATAAAAAAATGTACATTATCAAATTTGTCTCATACAATAAATCCCGTTTTGTTTATGGCATTAATAATAGATAAAATATGGTACTTTTATTTTGGCATGAATATCTTTTTTATCGTTTCTTGGCATTATGTTTTCTTTGCATTTAACCTCGCCTTATCAAAAGAATATGCTGATATGAAAAGTGAATATCATCTACAGTAAAACATTTACCTTTTAATATCAAATTAACAGTCCCAAAATGCCTTTTACACGTTTTTAATATTTATACCCATTTTTACGTATGCAAAGGGTTTCGAGCATAAATATTTAAAATTTAAAAAACCCCCCAAAAAAATTTAAAAAAGCTTTTTTCCCCGAGTTTAAAATTTTTGACAAACCCTAAACGAAAAAAAAAACTAAAAAAAGGAGATTGGAATTTAAAACATTTGGAAGGGCAAAAATAAAAACTATAAAAAAAATACACATGTTTAATTAACGTTTAAAAATTTTAAATAAAGCTAAAAAAAAACCAAAAAAATGGGTATGGTTTTTAAAAAAACCCTTTTTATTTCGGGTTTCAAAACTTATTTTGGTTTGATTCATTTTCAGGGGTGTAGCCAAACTTTTTTCAAAATTGTAGGCCCCATAAAGCTTTATAGAAACCCCAAAAGAAAAATAGTTTTTTAAAAGAGCAAAATGCGCGTTCCAAAGTATTTCCAAGGAAAAGTATCAAAACAACAATCTAAACTACGATTTTGATTAGATGTAAACTTTATTGAGGGTGGTTAAACATGCATAAGCTTAACACACACTTGATTTGACCATACGGCTTGAACCCAATACCATCCCAACCCCGCCTGTTTTTATTGTATATTTGGAACTTTTGAAAATTTCAATTTATTGACCAAGTTGTAGGCCCGGGCATAGATGACCTAATAGTAGCTATGCCAATAAAATGCTTCAAACTTCTTACCATATTCTTCTCATTCTCAGAAATAATATCATGGATCGTCAGCTGAATTTTCACTTTAGTGGTTGCTCCTTCTATTGAAGTAAAATGTTGAATAGTGATAATAATAAACGTACAAGACAGACATTGAGATGGTAGCTCATTTAATACTTTATCATATACAAATATAGAGTTTGCTAAATATGTTTTAAATTTTCATAACCCTTTTAATTAAAAGGGAATTTTATATCTTAACAAAAAAATATTTACATATCAAAATTTTTTATTTTAACTTCAAAATTTTAAAAATAAATTTTAAAAATGTGTACATTTATGGCCGGTTGCTTGCCAAAAATATTGCTTTTTTTAAAACTTGTATTTTAAAAAATTTTGAGAGAAAAAAGTGTAATTTAAAAAGCGAAAAAAATTTGGGAAATAAGTTTTTGTTCCCCCAAAGGCCCCCGTTGTTTTAAAAAGTGTTTTCATCCCTTTTTTTGGGTTGGGTTTTGTCAAATTTCATATTATCCTCCCTTTTTATTTTTTAAAATAACTTAACGTAACTTTCAAATAAAATTTTCTTTTATTTACATTAAAAATTTGCCGTCAACAATAATAATGCTTTGGTAAAGTATGAAATTAGAAAATAATAGCAGAATTGCAGAGGTTTTATTCAAGCAATGTACAATGACGTTCAATATCATGTATTAGTTCAGGTCAAATTTAGGCGTCCGGTTAGCTCAATTAAGTTGAACTGTTTATCGGGCGACTCAGGTTCGATTCCCGGACAGCGCAGATCACTTTCGTTGTGATTGATCAATAAATCATGTCTACGATCAATCGCACTGTACCTCTGACCTCTGCTCTTGCAAGTACAGCAGTAATCAGTTCCTTGCGAAAGTAAAGGCAATAGGAACTTGAGAAAACCTTGACTGCCCGTCCAGGAACGATGCGGTGGCTGAATTATGCTCTGTTAAATTCAATAAGGCATACTGCCGTGATCCGGACTATATACTACCACCGCCAGGATCAATTCCTTATAATATTCCTTACAAGGATTCCCGTCAAGCTTCATTAAAATTTCATGAGAGGTTTAAAATAAAACAGACAAACAGACGGTAAGACAGCGTCAAACCACGCATACACTTGTTGTTGAACTAGGGTATAAAAGCCTGTCAAAATAAATACGGACAAAATTTGACTAAAGTAATAGTAATCATTATATAATTTAAAACATCAGCAAATTCTTTGGTGGGGAAAATATAATGATAAATCATAATCACTGAATGTAGTAGTATATTTACTGTCTGACTTGGATTTATAAATAGAGCAGACTCATATTCAATGACAATATATCGTAGGCTGTTAACTTTAAGTGCTCATGGAATTCAATTGCTTCTTTTGTTTTTCTCGATTCAAATATCATTACTTATTATAGATAATTAGATAATAGTTACACCCCAGTGATTACATATACTAGTATAATAATGGAATTATGTAAGGTTGTGCTCCGTTTGTGTAGCCGTTTAATGCCTGATGTTATTTTTGCTTTCGCGCATCTTTTTCACGTTCTTCTATCCAAACAGTCAAATGTTGATGCGTTCTTCATTTCACATAACACATTAACAAACATAAAGGAAACAACAACATCGATTAATGACTTGTCTAGTGAGTCGTTCAATATGATGTAATATTCACCGTGTCAATATGAACTGCTTGTGAATATCACATCCTCAAATATAATCTAAAGATAACATTGGAATGCATTTTTACAACTGGTTAATACGTAACTCTTTGTAAATATCAGAGTATATTCACTAATTGTATTTTCGGCGGAAGTCGTATGTTTTTGGGGAAAAGCTTAATATGTATAAACATTTCATTGGTCATTTTAAAATTACAATCTGAAATCTCGGAATCTGATTGGCCATTGTAAAATTGTTAAAGTAACATTAAGGAGTTGTTTTCTGACATCTACTTTCAAATTGATCTAAAGAAGTTCTAGAAATTATCTGCGATGTATAGTTCTTTAACTATATATCAAGATAAATTTAACATACAAAAGTTTTGTTAAAAAAATACCTTCCCCTCCCACGTTATGAGTTCCATTTTACTATGCACCCTCTTGCAGATTATTTTTCGCTGCTTTCATAGTTATCATTGCTATATTAACAAAACGCAAACAGAACGTTTCGTCCCCAATCCAAATAGGTCCAAGTGCAAACTTGTTTTAGTTCGGCCGAGAATCTTTTAAAAAGACACTTCTTGTTTGTTTTTTTTTAATTTTATGTTTAAAGTATATTAACCGTTTTTGATATACTGGAAATCAGCCATAGGATGCGATGATATGAGTTGACGTAAGGTATTAATTTTGACGAAAATTTGCCAAAATACAATACATGAACAAATTAAAGTTGTCGTTTATATTTAAAAGATAAGCGTTTCCGTGCGTTCTTTGTTTATATATAATTATTATACAGCTCATTTTTAGAAAATAATGAAAAAATATATAAATTTGCGCCATGTTCTGAAGCAGAATTATTTATCCCATAATAAAGCTATTTGTGAATTATAATTATAATGAAACAGATAAGTACATTTTAGCTGGAGAATATGGTGTGGAAGTAATAATTGCCGAGGCGACATTAACTTTAACCAGTACATACTACATCATATTCAATTATCAAAAGCAAAGAAAGTAAATATTTGTATAATATTCAATGGCTTGTCAGTAATCAAATTATTTATCAATATTTATCGTCAAAATCAAAGTAGATAAATTTCCTGTTCATTCGCCGATATCAAATTTGGTAAATGCACACTTCCGAAATTATATTTATATGTATAGACATTAGGATTTAAAGTTTACTTAAACGAATGGCAAGTGAATGCGAATAAATGTTAGTACATACACTTGCAATACTTTGTAAGTATTTTTTTAAAACAAAATCATATTATAACTGTAACACAAATACATTATTTCATTTGAAAATGAATGTTGTAAAATACCATTTTCGATATAAAACTAATCGTATTAATGTTAAAAACAATTACATGTATACCGAGTTTTAGTGTGCAAAGTTGTAATTAGGTTTATTTCTCCTAATTAAGAGTTAAATTTCAATATTAAGATTTTACATTAGACGGTTCTGTACCAAAACATATTTTGAAGACATTGTCAGTTAATAAGAGATTTTCGACATTGCGACCTCATACACGCATCGAGGACATATTGTAAGGAAAATGACCGGACCACATTCACGTTATCACAGTATTCCCCTTCCCTTCCGAGAAAGGGATAAAGACCTATGTGCCCCTTAATTATAAGGCAGACTGACTTCATGTGCCACTAGTTTGTTGTTTGTGTACCAAGTGCAAAACTTGACCTCTATTCACTGTTAAGAAAGGTCCATTACTTTATTCGTATAACATTTTCTTATATAAGAATATTTCATTTACAAACAAAACATGGTTCTAATGATAATAAAAATAACCAATGCAACTTGAATCGTTTTACCTTCTGTAATGTACTCTGGTGGAATACTTGGGTCGTAACGACTATGATTGAGTAGTGCTTCTAATAGATCATGTCTTAAAAAGATCATATAAACAAATTTTAAATTAGTAGGGTTTATCACGTGTCATACTCTTTTTTTAAATATGATAAAATAAATAAATATGGAGTCAAAAAAATAATGACTTCGTTTTAAAAAAACGTTCGTAACTTTTCATTAATATTAAGTGAACATGAGTTATACAAACTCTATAAAATTGTATAATGTAACCAGCAGGCATTTTCCCACCATAGCTCAACACATGTCAGCTAAAATTTTGTATAATTAGAAAAAGAAAAGCATAAAATGTAAATTTACAAACAACACAACTTTTTTATTTAAATGTTAAGATGATAGTGTAAACAATTATTTATGGTAAAACATTATTTTTCTTATGGTATTTCAATTATGATTTCAGTTCAAATTATTTTTTCATATAAATCAATGAAATCAAATATAAAAACTCACTTGGATATGTTGCTTTGAATGTAGTAACAGTCTACCATATTTGTTAAACACATCATTGATACAGTAATAAAGATAAAATTGACAACTGTGTTGACCGCCATTGAACGTTGCCTCAAGCCGACGTTGTTTGTACAATTTCTCATAACTTCAACATCCATAACATTGCAGTTCACATAAAGTTGTTAATTAATGGTTTTACTTCACTTATTTTATTGCTTTCCCAATAAATATTTCACTCCTTTTTTCTATTTAACCCCCCAAAAAAATGTTTCCCCTTAAATTGTTTCTCTCATTTTCCCTACTTAATCCCCAAACTAAAAATAAAAACGAACAAAAAGCAAACAAGATCTCGAGCTCGTTGTCGATTTAAACATTTATTTATCTCTCTTACTTTGCTAACTTAGCTTAATGCGTTTCAAATAATGAGTTATTTTTTAACATAAAACAGTCACAGGAAAACGAAACTAGGTTTTCCATTTCCACTAGAAATCCATTGCTTAAGATATTTAATTTATGAACTATACAATTACTATCATAAGCATTGTGAATACCACTTAAAACAGGAAATACTTAATAAACATTTGCTATAGCTTGATCATAAAAATTCATTAACATTGTTATACAAAAATAGACATCAGTCATTTAGCTTTCTAGATATTGCATGATGTAAAATCTAGACGTAATCATGAGTTATTCCGATTGCATAAATTGCATTACAGAGAATAACTTACATATATCGAGCAGAGGTTTAACAGCCCGATTTTAATATGAAAATACAAAAGAAAATATGATTAAGTAAAACACAGAGACGAATAAAGAATAAATATTTGCTGTGACTATTGGCTATTAAACAACGGTTTGGAGTTTTGAGGCATATAGTGTTGACTTTCATCCCAGCAAAATATTTGTAAGATAGCTTATCTACACCGCTCAGGTCGATTTTACAGCGGCAATTTAATCCGCTGCCGATTTTTTATATGTGGCTGTTATTTTCTACATCCTACTGTCGCTAAGGTAATAAGGAAAATAAAAAAAGATAAAAAGCCGTATCATTTTTAACTATCGTGTATGTATTCATTATCCATATATTTATATAAATATATCAATTATTTACATATAAGAAAAGGTTTTTTTTTATATTTTTTCAAAGGTGTTAGATAAACCCATTTTCATCACCATCTATTGAAGGAAAGTTTCAATATCTAAAGTGTTATCATTCTTGCTCTGTTTGTGAGAGTTGTGTGCTGAATTGAAGTGTGATAGTAGCCTTAATGTCTTTGTGCTGGAAATCTATTTAGCAGCAACCCCTTCTTCACAAATAGTTGAACAAAAACAATTTAATCCAATTGAATTCAAGATGGCTGCCACACTAAGAATAAAGAAGTCATAAAATAGGCCAGTCAGTCTTGTTCTGCTATTTGAAAATATTTTATAGTCCTGGAAAATTTAAAATCCCTTGAACAAGTCAATCAATCACCTTCAGTACATGAAACATATGACTTGAAGTATTTTACTGCTTAGCGACACAAATGTCTATAATTACTACTATCTGTAAGTTGTTATGTCAAATACACATGTTTCCATAAATAACATAATAATAATAATAATAATAATAAAAATAATAATAATAATAATAATAATAATAACATATGTAAACGGTATGGTGCTAGGCGACATAAAAATTGAAGAGTGATTTGCAAAATAACAAGTTTTCTAATTATAGGGCCCTGACGGGATCCGAACTGAAATTACTTAGTTCCGGGCGGGATCAGAGCTGACAATTCCTAGTCCCTGTCAGAATTCGAACCTCCAATGATGAAAAGCAATTGATTGAAATTCGGCCATGCATCCTCGACACCCGACCCCTTTTTAAAAAATTCTTAAATACAGATATTCTGCTTGATACACATATAATTTAATAACTATGATAAATATAAAGTGATACACTTGTGTAATATTTTCCCGAAGGACGATATCAGCTGTGTTCGTCAGTCCTCATTCTAGACAATGGCTCTAAACATTGTAAATCCCTTGTTTGTCAAAGAAATAATCACTTATAAATTCAGGCAAATTCCATAGCAACCGATAGGTGTATTTGGCATCTGTGCCTACAAGGTACCTAAATAATACAAATTAAAAGCATAAATTAACTTTACGTACAGCATATTCCCATCTCATCTATTGGTAAAATTGAACATATATGCTGTTTGATACATTTAAAAAATGAGCACATTTGCGGGCAGATTTTTCAAATTTCAAAATTTACCAGTTCACGCCAAGTGTTGAATCTTGCTTAAGCCAGGGCTAGGTGGAGATTGGGCGTGAACAGAAGCTTGCAATTGACAGTACCGTACCATCGTCGAATACCCACGGCCGAACCATTAACATTCATGTTATGTGACATGTTTGTCAATCATGGGTATCCGACGATGGTACCGTATACCAACAAGCTGTACCAAACCGCGCCTGCATCAACTGTTATAATTCCGTGTTGGGATTTCTCCAGGGATTCTGTTTTCTTTATTTATCTTATATGTGATTAATCGATTCATGGTGAACCTCAAGTTTTACTTAAATTTGTGCTCATCGATTTTTAACTTCATGTTCAAGTGATTTGTATTAGAAACCATGTTAGTTCTAGATTGATTCCTTAGATGTATACATACTCATTTGCTTTGAAATTTTAAGGAGATTCTACAGACGTTCTGTTAATTACATTTAAGCGGAACAGAAACATATTGAATATAGTAAAACGTAATTTCTTTTTTTTTTTGTATTCTTTTTTTATGTAAAGCGAGGAAACTGAAAATGTTGCAGGCTCGGTTTGATGTAGCGTGGTCGTAGAAGGTAATGGAAATAGCAAGTTACCGTCCGCGCCGCCTAACAAATACAATAAACTAACAATATACAAAGTAAATGTCAAAATATAACACCTGTCATTGTAGATGCGTTTAGCCATTTTTTGTTATCTTTGTAGTCAATGCAATAGTATTCAGATTTTGCTAAAAAAAAAGTTAATAAAATATTTCAATGTTTGATATCACCTTTTTCTTGGAAACTTTGCTGTTATCGCATGGATGTATGCATCAACAACAAGATTATATTGTGTCGATCCGGTTTCCTCCAGAATCTTGTAAGGTGCTACCACTGCAAAAAAGTGAATGGTGTTTTCCGCCTACATAAAATGTACTATTGAACATAAATGGGGAAAAAGGAAGGAAAATGATGGTTGAAGACACTGAAGGGTTTAAAACTGTTTTGAAACCAGGCTGTCATGATGACCTCCTGCTTGGTGAGTATTATTAAATGAAATGTTAAAATATTATCAATGCTTAGAACACAGTTAATTTATTCAGGTAGGTCGGCAACTACTTTCTATTTCATACTCTTTTATGTCTCAATAATGATAACATACACTTATTCATCATCTTTCTTAAATCAAAAAAGCAAACCTCTAGATTTTTTCTATTTTTATCAAAATTTTGAAAATGCATTTTTAAGAAAACTATTGTAAAGTAACTAATACATTGTAAACAGAATTTTATGTATAATTGGTCAAAATATGCATTCTTAACTGCGCAAGTGACAAGTAGAAATATAATGACAGATATTAACTCACCTATACATAACCATCATGAAAATCATGACTTGAAGTTAAAGTTCTCTAAAAAATCTTAGTAAAGTTGTTTTTTTCTAAAATTTGATATTTTCTGAAAATATTTGGCTTATATGGTGGTATACAGTTTCAGTCATAATGTAAAAGCAAATGGATAGAGTACAAACCAAAGTGATGGTAGATGCAGAGATCCCCTACCTGTCTAATTCTAATTATCAGACAAGTGGTTAACAATGCCAATGACATTGCAGCATATTTTTTAGCGAAAGATCACATTTAAATTTGTGTTGTAAAAACTATTAATATTCCATTTACAGATGAAAGTTTTGAACTATCAATAGACTGTATATTTTCTGGGTTAATATTAAAGGTCAAAGTAAACAGAATGTGGCCGAACTTAAGGCCTAGAACACAGAACGTACTTTTGTCCGCAGCGTCATCGGGCAATTGCGATTTTATCTCGGCAGGTAAACTCGCTATTTTGTCTACACTCATCTGTTGGAGAGGTTTCCATATGGGAGTTTTGAAAGCTCCTGGCTCGATGATTTGTACTTTGGTACCAGTTCTATAGATCTCTCTTCTATCAAATAAAAATTGAGAAAAAAGTGCAAAATTCTCAATCATATTGAAAATGTAATTTTTTACATAGCTATGTTAAATGATTTAGATCTAATATCCTTTACGAACGGCAAACATGTTCAACCAGGTTAAACTTTATTTGTTGATATATTAAAATAAATAAAATTACAGTCGGATCCCGCTTATTCGAAATCTTTTTTTTTTCGAATACCCAGCATTACCCTTTGACATCGGCGTTCCCGATGTTTTCTCTGAAAAAATCAATACAAATACGAACGTGTAAATTAAATCAGGCAATATAAGAAGAAACCACACCTATAACATGGGACTAATGTCAAGCAATTTTTTTTCATTTTTCTTTCATAATTTTAACAATATTGATAAAATAAATTGAAGAAATTTCAATAAATTGGTAACACAATTTGAGAAGCAAATTCAAGTTTATAGAGATAGCGTAAAAAAGTCTAGATCTTATCTGAAGTAATAAAAAAGTAAGCTATTAAGATTTGTTGCCCCACTGAGGCCTGAAACCTCCAAAAAATGGAAAAACATAGATCAACTGGACCGCTTAAAATGACAAAATAACCATTAATTGAATTGAAAGCCATTTTTGTACTGGTTTAACCTGAGTTACGAGCATTTTTTTCTTAAAAAAAGATTTGCCAGCACTCCATAAAGTGGAAAACAAATTTTTGATTAAAATGTTTAGTTCAATGATGTTCAAATCCTCAGTACGTAGAACAGCATTCAGTTTGTTTATATTTGAAGATTTCCTTTACCTTAGAACATCGGAAAAAGCCTCCACACCATATTTGGAAATAGTATAAGAAGAATTTATGAAAGCAACTCTTCCTGCTATACTTGAAGTGTTCACAATTCTCCCCTGTTCTTGAAGAACTAACGGCAGGCACGCTTTTGTTACCATGATAACACCGTATAAATTAACAGCAAGTGTATTCTCGTATTCCTGTCTTGTATGAAGAATGGTTGGTCCTACTCCACCAAGTATACCAGCATTGTTCACTACTGCCCATAAACCTAAATATGTAAAGATTTCAAACATAAGTCATAAAGATGAATGGTTAAATGTTAAGGGCTTAGGAGCGTTAACGGTAGGTCAGCACTGTCTATGAAGAAACTGCATAATTTCTCTTGTTCCGTTTTGAGTGTTCTTTAAGGAATCAGTTTTTTTATATTTTAGGATCATCTATAATGTATTTGTTTGCAAACTACAATGAAAATTTAACATCTAAATACATACATGCACTTACCGATAATGCAATATGCTCTTGCTTCATGAATTTTGAAAACAAAGTAAAAAGTGCATTTATTTGCTAATCTGATGGGCTGTATTGTTTAAGTTGGTTGTTTCAAGTGATATTTGCAGAGCGAGTTGCAAAACAATTTCACGCAAACAATGTGATACAGCGAATCATTATTTTCCTTTTATTGTTACAATGCATGCAGAAAATCTGAATAATACCCAAGCAATTTGTTTGTTTCAATATTGATTGTATAAATATACCCGTTACGTCACGAGCCAATCCTTCCTTACAAGTTTTGAAATACGAGAGGTGATTTCTGCTGTAATTACTTCAGCGAAAATTACTTATTTAATCAGAAAACTGTATATGGAATAAAAATTGAGGATACACTAGCTGATACTATAATGAGGGTTCACATGAGGGACGAAAAATCGATAATTTGCAACAAAGACCACGCTACTTTCATAGAACGAACTTTTAGTCACTGTAACAAATAAAATATAATCATATGTTGGTGCGACGTCAGACAAAACAATTAAAATATGAGTATGATTGTGCAAAATATAATAAGAATGTTTGTTCATATAATTCCATATTTAACTGAGATGTGTCAAGACAAGGAAATAGAATCAAGTCCGTCAACTTGGCACTAAAAAGGTTTTTCTTTTTTAAGGAACTCCAAATAGGTGTTTTGACATTTGGTACTTGAAATATATTTTTGAGATTTTTAAATTTTAAGTTTTTATGCTTTCGGACCTCAACGAAACATGTAACGTAACGTAAACTTAGTAACACATATTGTAAATTAACGACTCTATAGAAGTACTTATATCTGAAACATATGGTATTTATATTTATGTACTTTTATGAAATTCATATTTTTGTCACAAAAATAATAACCTTTTCCATTTGGTAATCTCCGTTTAACTATTTCCATCGTCTTTTCAATACTTGCATCCTTTGTGACATCCATTTCTATCGCTTTCAATTTCGAAGAACTTGTTTCGTTGAATTTCTCAACTGCAGATTTTGTGAGGCAACAAGCAAACACATTAAATCCCATTTTGTCTAGTTTCTTTGCTAACTCCAAACCAAAACCCGAATCGCACCCGGTTACCAAAACAAACCGTTTATCGAAATTGTCAATTTTTAATTTTCTCACGAACCATTCTAAGATAAATGCGAACGATAGAGCAATGCAGATAATAATAAAACTATCCATACTTTTCAATTATTTTTATTCATTCGCGAAGTCGAATACTCACTAAATATATTAAGCCTACACAGCTATAGTTATGTTTGATAAGTTTGGGCTTTATGGTTGATACATTTGGGCGGATTATATCGACTCGTCCGAGCTTGAAAAATACTATATTTTACTGTTAAAACACATAAAACTTGACAGAATGATACGATACGCGTCAACGAAATTCTATACTGGCATATAAAACACTTTGAAATGGCTTGGTCAAAAGAACTACAGCATCAATTGTAATAAAAATATCGAAACAACTATTGTATTTTCATCCTTGAACTAAATGAACTACAATTATGTTGTCATGAACTATATTAATGATTTTGATTAGATGTATAAAATAACCTTATTTACATTTCCGAACGAGCGTCCTCCCTTCAGGGTATAAAGTTATATCAAAATACTTTTATAAATTGTATTAACAGCAAAATTATGTTGTTGTCACAATATCATTGTCGATTATCGTAAGATCTGTTAAATATAACGTGTCTGTAATTTAGTCCACACGAAAATTGCACTTAAACGGAATAAAGAGTTTCTTAACAATATATTTTTTCTGATATTTTAGTACTTATTATTATTATTATTATTATTATTATTATTATTATTATTATTATTATTATTATTATTATTTGATAAGCAATTAACAATTAGAAAAATTCAATAAATGAAAACATACGAGGTTTCCTTTTCAGAAAGATAATATAATTTTACAAAATTATAGTCACTTTTTGTCCCCAAATTAACAGGACAATTTCTCAATTGATGCTCACCAGGGCAATGACAAAATTGTAGCAGATTTACCATAACCCATTTAAATGATAAAATTGCTTGTATGATAGTGGGGATAGAAGTTCATAATGTTTACCTTTTACTGAAAAACACTAAGAAAACACAAATTATACTATTTAAAATGTTTCATACTTTCCGATCGATATGTTTTACAAAATCAAAATATCTTTTGAGACGTCCATTGTGATTGAAACTAATTTCGGAGAACTCGTCTCTTTTATTTCCAGGACTTCATATTTATCCTTACTCATAACTTCCAAATTTTAATTGTTTCACGAGATTTTCAGCGACTAAAACAAGAATTACAATAACAGTAAAAACAATAAAATGCCATATTTAGATATTTTACTATTATTTATATTATACTGTTGACATATACTCAAACGAATTTATATTAACACATTATAAACACTTAGACGTTTCAAACTGCATTTGAAAAGATAAATTTAAAAATGAAATTTAAGTTGCAATCAAATCATATACATAAGAGGCTGCTTAAAGATTACAAGAAGATAAAATGTTTAATTGCCGAATGAATTAACTCTGATCCGTG